TGTGCGTTAAATCCTCCAATCCCCAAACTTGCATCAGATATGCAATCTACTGTACAGCTCTGTGGTAGGCATCTAGTAGGTGATGCACTCAGGAAACGGTAACCAACATTCTGAAATACGTTTCCCATTAGTTGGGTGGTGTTTTACGTGTAAACTATTCTTCAGATATTTCAGTCACAGTAGAATGTCGGTTTTTAGTGCTGCCTGCAAGATTCTCTTATAAGTAGAACGACTTAAAGTTTGCAGGCCTTTTCTCATTGGGTTTCGGTGCTTCTAAGAAATCCATTATATGTTTCTCGGAAAACGTCTTTCTGAAGTTTTTTGTTCTCGACGAAATGTCTATTTCCGTTTTGTTTTTGACTTGCCCTTGTGTTTTTTTTTCGGATGCCACTTTTCAAAGCTTTCTGTTCCGTTTTTTTCTTATAAATCGCTCCTTAAGATGTTCGATGAATGTTTTAAATGCATACCGAAGCAAATGACTACATGGATTTTCTTTTCTCTCTTAATCTGTTGAAGCATCAGAACACATCAGTAAGTAGCTTATTGCGTAGACTTCTTATAAAGTACACCATAGTAACAAAATTTCCACGATTTTGATATACGGGATCGGCAGTAATGGAGGTTATATGCGTGGAGCGTATCAGGGGAAGGAAAAGTAATTGAAAAGTAGAGCATATAAAAGCAATTAAAATAAAAGGCACAGTTATTTAGTTAACCTAATATTTGGTAAGAAGAAGGTTCGCTCTAATTTAAATGATAAGCTCAAGCAGCAGAAAACCAAAAAACTGCGCTCAAGCATACCCGGCCTGACCACAGTCATATATGGAATCTTTATAAAATTTTACTGATTAACATAAAACAGATGGGCTTTTTCTGCATTTTTGGATGCTCGCAGTAGATTATTTTGCACTTGGACAGAAATGTCATTTGGATAAGCCAAAAAGCAATGGCATTTTGCTAAAGACTTCCGTGTGTTGGAGTCAATTAACTATATAGCAGTAGGAAGCCAAATAGCTTAGCGAATATAGGCCGATATTATATTACGATAAACCGAACATTAACAGTAGGGCGCTGGACGTTTTCTAGGTGGGATTGCAATAGGGGTTAAATGCTGAATACGTACGCGATAAAAAGGTAGAAACCTACTATGCAAAGAAGCTGCAATTCACCATTATAGTAAATAAAAAGTAGGCGTAATGCTATGAAATAAGTAGTTATTTATGTACAATAAACTACAATGTTTCAAAGAA